AAGGCCTGTAGGCGCTGTTTCGAATTCCGGTGAATTCAATGTAACTGGTCTACCAATCAGTTCCTCAGAGTGCTCTACATACCCATTAATCTGTTTTGAATCTCAGTGACTGATTTCCCTTCTTTGTGCTTGACTAGTTTCTCTGGCTTACTACATTTCTCCGTACATTTCTTTTTTGTGTCATATGGTTCCTTCATTACCCCTATCTCGTAGTTTTTTCTACTTTCGCTGCTAGCTATTCCACGTATTTCATCTTGTCAGATCTAATGCTCTTCTTCACTTGCTTGTTTGTTTCTGTGTATTCAGCTTGTGCTTTGACTTCTTCTGCTGTTCTTCGATCGTTGTTAGTTGCTGTCATCTTTTTCCTCCTTTCTTCAACCCTCATCAGGGTTTAGATAGAGATCCATTTTTGTCGCCAAGCACCCCCAGACACGTTGAAGTTAATGCTTCCTTAATCGCTTTTCAGTTAGCCTCCATCGTAGTTTCTTCTTTCAGTAGGTCCTGTAAGGCCAGGAACCCGTTGTTGAGAGTTATCTTGAATTCGTTGTGTTTGTCAGTATTTCTAAGGAGGGATGTTTTGAGCCGTTGTCATCCCGCCTCGTCATCTATCCACTGCTTCTTTACCTTAAGTTTTATTTTCGCAATCACCATGTGGTGATCCGAAGCCATGTCAGCTCCACTTCTGGTTCGCATTGTCCGTCTGAAGTTTTTAGTGATGCAAATATGATCGGTCTAACTCTCTGTGGTATAATTTCTTGAGACCCATGTAGCTTTGTGTATGCGTTTGTGTGGAAATATTTTGCCACTTATTTCCAATCTGTTCAATGAAAACAGGTTTGCAAATCTCTCCCCATTTTCGTTTCTCTCTCCTTGTCCATAACATCTCATGGTGTTGTCCATCCCGACTTTGGCGTTTAAGTCTTCGATCAGGATTGTTAGGTCGTTTCCTTTGCACTTCGCTACGATCAAACGCAAACTCTTATCATCTCCATTGCTATTATTGGTTGGTGCGTAGAACTGGATAACATTCATTGTGCTTTTCTGTCTCTTTGTTTTGAAGAGTGCTTTGATTATCCTGGGTCCGTGGGATTCCCATCCTTTAAATGAATCACGTGCTTCCTTGGACTGCATCAGAGAAACTCCGTGAGTATGTGAAGCACTTTCCTCTTCGTGACCGGAATACAGCAGCATTTATCCCGTATCTATCCTTTGACGCACAGCTCAAGTCCAGTGGTTTTCTTTGTTTCCGAGTACTTTTATGTCGTATCTCCTCATTTCCGTAGATATTTGACTAGCCATTCCAGTCTCCCATATTGTCTGGACATTCCATGTACCTATATTAATTTTTACTTTGATTGTTACAAGCTGCATCGGTTACGTGACTTCCCATGAATATTGGCTTTCACTTTGAGGTACCATAATTATTCGGAATAAAGATCCTTAAACTCCCAGGAAGAAGCTAAAGTGGTTTAACTTGTTTATTGTGGTTAGCGTATCTATAATATTGTTGTTTTCTACGTGATGGGGTTGCTGACCACATATCCAACTCACCTCTTTTACCGTATCTTGAGACTGGCAGTAACTACGAAAGGACTACAGGCGGAGCTATCATGTTAAAACGCATCCACGTTATAAGAGTTCAGTAGTACACAAAATTGTCCTCTAAGTGTTAGCTTAATGACTTCTTATCATTGATCATGAAATCGAAAATGATAAAAAGATAGAATCAAATCCGTCCACATTTATCACTTCTGTCTTTAAATCTGTTACATCCGCTTCGGGGCGCTTTTTTTGAGCACATTTTAATGCGATTTTTGTAATAATCAATATTGTTACCGGAAATGAGTATCCTACTGTGAGATCATTAGAATGAAGAATGCGTATCTTTACTAAAAGACTGGAAATATCATTGATATGAGCTATAAAGATTGCAAACACTCATTACATTTTTGTAGTCGGTGAGAATATATATGAGGGATCCATTTTATCCATTTGGTCGAAAATTCTTCAACCATGTAATCAGGCAACCGCTGATCTTACATGTCTCGTGAGATGTTGCCCATATCAGTATAGTTTTAAAACGTAGTGCATAAGATTATGTTGAACAAAGGTTACACAAAAGAAATTAAACTGTTAAATGGAGAAAGATGTAAACTTTAGGGATCTGTTGGTTACTAACAAGCTTTCAAATGAGCAAATAGTATCATTGGTCCTGTAAATAAATGATATTACATCAATAAGCAAATAATTGCTAGTCGATGTAATCTCTAAATTGGAAACATAATGGCATATATTTGACTTTCCAGTGATTAGGGCAACTACCCGATTCGAGTAGTGGTGTACAATTTTTATTCAAGTTATAAATTTTTAACCATAGCACTTGATACATGGCCTTCTAAAATTCTGGCAAAGTTTTGTCATTGAAAGCTGTGCGAATGAGAGAGTAGTGACCCACTTTTATCAAGAGAAGGCGATTGGTGTAATGGAAACAATTATTATTATAACCAATTGTACCAAGGATTGTTTTTACCGTACCTGTTTGTTTAACTGTACGGAAACACATACATTCTTCCGTTGATTGTGACCGTGCACGAGTTCGGTTGCGCTCAGTAAGCACACTTGTACTCCTTTGGCACGATCTCGGTATTTTTTCGATACCACGAGATCGCCAACAAATACATCTCGACTACAGCCATCAACTGTCTTCTGATGTTTGGCTTACGGGGTATCTTATCCGTTAACTGGCACGTAGTCTTCCTGTAGTGTTGATCATAGTCAACTGCAACTCGACACCACACTACAACTTGTTTATACGTTTAAACTAACTCGGTTGATTGATAGCAGATAGTTATAATAACAACGACTTTGGCCACTGATATTAAACCCTTCTCTCGAAGCACTGAATTTACCTCAGAGAAATGTAGGTCTCAACTAATTTTATTTATACTCTATCGAATGACATGGTCAAAAAGGACAGGAAATCCGAATACGTGTAGTTTTAAAGAGTAATGTATTCTATACATACGATTCAACAGCCAGATGATTAAAATGAATTAACTTGCATAACTTGGAGTTTGTTGAAATTTGAAGAGTGGTCTTTTGATCGAAGTCTGTGACTTCGGATTAACTCAGGTTTCATATTGAGCAAGCGATGACTATAAATATTAATCATCGGCCACCTTCAATTGCTTCCCAGACGGTATTTAAGTGATATCAGCGAGAACAGGACAGAGAGCCCGAAAACGTTAGGGGTTCAGAATTTGCCAAAAGTAATTGAAAGACGAGTTTAAGAGAATTGAGTGAGATAATGTACTTAGATTATCCGTAAAGTTCTAAATCATAACTTTTCAGCCAGCTAGGAGGTATTGAGGTTCCACTGTAAGCTGAAGTGGGCTTTCGTATGAATGCTTCCCCTGGCGTCCCAAAACGTCATCTAGTGGCGCTTGCAGTAAGTTCTGAAATGGTCAGGATCATTGTATGAAGTCTTCAGGCCAATTATTTCGAAGGGATTATTTGCTACCTTGCTTTTTCAATAGTCACTGCTATCATGCTCTCTGATTAGTTTGAAGATGATGCGGATAAGCAGTGTTCGACAGTGTTGGCGCCAATTAGGTCAGTAGTCAATTATAATGGGAGGAGGAAATGTGTTTGAACTGATGATAGGCAAACCATTTCCCATGTAAAACGAAAAGCTCGCTTGAGTTTTGCCAACTTACATCACCTATGGCGAAGGCGAGGTATCCGTCTATCAATAAAAGGACGAGTATACTGCGCGGCAGTCCGTTCTGTTTTACTTTACGGCATCAAAATATGGCCATTAAGAGTTGAAGACACTCGTAAGCTACTAGTATTTGACTACAGATGCCTTAGAAATACTGTTGGCATCTGCTGAGATCACCGGGTAAGTGATAGTGGGGTTAGACGCAGGGTATTAGGGAATGATGGTAAATCAGTTGATGAGGTTGTGAATCTTCATCGACTGAGGTGATTGAACCACGTGTTACGTATACCTGAACACTGATTACCACAACGTGCAATGCTAACCGGTGTTGGAGATGGTTATAAGAAAGTTAGGGTTGGCCAAACCAAAACATGGAATCAGTCCCTGAAGTCACTGACTTCTGGTCTGAGCCATGTTGGAGACTCTGTGTGACATGGCTCAGAATCGATCACAATGGCGTCGGTCTATACACTCTCTGTCTTCCCTTAAACTAAGAGATAAAAATCGCTTCATATCTTTCTTTCTATGAACTTATTCTTTCTTCCTGTACTATATCCTTATTGCAATCTTTCTTTTATATATTACCACCTCTGAATTAACTTCTTTTATGAATCAGGTGTCTATCTTGTTGTGTTAATGAGGCATGGAAACTTGGACCGATGCATATATGTGCCTGGTCCTACGTTGTAGCTGACTGGCTGACTGACTGTAAAGCGAGCTGGTAAGCATCCGTAAAAGCTGCTCAGTACGAAGTGCCTAAACGTAACCTCGTGAGTACATCTGATGGAATGCCTCCCTTCGGGATTGTCCAGTAGAACTAATAAGATCACTACCAATATCACTGACTAACGGAGATATTCATTTTTTAGGTTCATTCATCTCCGCAACTCAGGTTGGAGGAGCACTGTGTCGACTGTTCTTCATCTTATAATTGTGCTCTCTCGACAGTTCAATGAATTCTCGAAAAATTGAGGTCACCTATTATGAAATTAGGGATATAGTTTGACAAGCGATGGATCATGAAACTTTTGAGCAGATGCGATCTGTCTTTCCTACAACATATATACTGTATCCGAAATGTTCTCACAGAGCTGATTGCCAGTTAGCAGGTTCAGGTTTGATCAATAGTTAGTCATAATTTGGAACTCTCTGTCTCATACGATTAGAAAGAGTTTCGATGGATGTTAAAAGAGGGTATTTGATTGATGAGTTAGAATTTTTTTCACTCACCGTATCATTAGGTCGTGCGACACTATTGAAACATCAGACTCGAAGTTGTGAACAGTTTTGAATCAGGTCGGTACGTGTATGCGCCTCATCGTATATAACCTACTCGGGACTTCGCGCTATGCAATTCTGGTTTTGATTGGTAAATCTTCTTGATATTGAGCTTTTGTTCTTAACAATTGCATTTTACTGATCTCAGTATCAAAATAAAAGTTCATGCTCTTTGCTAATTGATTTTCTGACCCACTTTCTCTTTTTACAGATTTCTCTACCTTCGCTCTTCTGTATACTCTACCAGCAAACAATATAACTTCAGAATAAGCACACACTGTTGCACTTACAGTTGTCAAAAGAATGGGAGGGCTTCTATCCTCACCTAAAACGGACAAATACAATGAAACTGGTTGCGGCAATGGACTTCGATACGGGATCTCCAGCATGCAAGGCTGGCGTCTTTCAATGGAGGATTCTCACTGTGCCATAACACAACTTCCTGGTAATCTTAAGGATTGGTCGTTTTTTGCTGTTTTTGATGGCCATGCTGGTGCTTTGGTATCAGAACTCTGTGCCACAGAGCTATTGAAGGTTTGTCGCCTATTTGCGTACTTTGTGACATTAAATTGTTGTCCGGATTCGAATTCAGCCTAGGATTTGATGTTTCGTAGATTATGATCACTATTTTAGTAACCAAAGTTTCAAGGTGCTATCCTTTTTTAAAGATAAATTTTGATTTGGGTACTTACCTAATAAAATTGTTCATTACCTGGTATATATATTTGACTTGTAAACATCTTCGTTTCTGAAAAGCGATGAGAATAAGGGACTTTGCCACAACCCATCTACTTTTTCCACTCGAATTTTGTCCTCTGTAATGACATTATTGATGGCTCGAATTAGCTTCATTACGCATATTATCACCTATCCAATATTTCACACTTCTAAAACCCGTTGGTTCATCTTCGTGGATATGACAACCTTGATCCTTGTCATCAGTTACCCTTTGCCTGGATTAGGGATAGGGTAGTAGGTAAAGCTAACGAATCGATTGATGAAATAGCAAATCTTCAACTGAGATGTTTGGGGCATGTTTCGCGTATGCCCAATCCCACTTATTGTCTGGGGGAGTAGGCTGCAAGAATTTTAGGGGTGGCCAAACCTGGACATGGCGCCAGTCTATGAAGTCATTGACAGTTGGACCTAGTCATGTTAATGAATGTGGACTACCTAGTTGTGTTCCACGTGATTATCGTAACCAATGGGTAAAGACTTCGAGTGAAATGGCCTAAAGTCGTTTTCAACGGTTCGGGTGCGTCCATCATTCGTCCTCTCCCAGATTTTAGGCTTCTGAATTCTTCATAACTTTCCTTTGTTTTTATTCCACAAACTTATATTTTCTCGAATCGTATCTTCGATGCTTAATCTTTCCTATTACCATTGGTACTGTAGCTACCTTTACTATTCTGTGGTTTTATCTGACGACTCCATCTCTTTGTGCTAATGAGGTATTTCAGCTTAAACCAGGCCCTACTTTGCGTATGACTGACCGACTCGTCAAATTTCACTACAAAACGAGATGTGTCTGAGATGTTATGTTATTTGGCTGTATTCCTATTGAAGATCAATGGTATGATGATATCCAATACTTCAAATAATACAGCAGTTGATTCGCATTAATTTAGGTAAAAGAAAAATCCATCGAGTCACTCACTGACGTTACTAGTAGAATTTTTTGTCAAATACAGCAGAAACTCCACAATATATTCGGGGTACTAAAGGTATCTGAAATTCCCAACCAGAACCTCACATACAGCAGCAACAACCTGGCAGTACACGAAAGTATTCTTGTAGAAAAATACTTATTACTCCTAGCTTGGTTGGCAATAAAACTTAATGTGTTTTTCGGAAGAATGGCTATTAATGTACTTCCCGGAAGTGTGCATTACGTTGAACAAGTGCATTCAATCGAAAACTAATCGAAAACCATACTTTACATAAGGAAAACAACAAAGTATAGGCATCGTAAAATCCAACGGTATTAATCGAGTTTGAGTTAGTATATTTCCTAATGTGGCTTCACGTAAAATTTCTCTGAAAAGTTCTTAACTGTAGTTAGATGTATCTAACAGATTACAATGAACACGAATCAGAGGGAACATATTTTGTAGTGTCACGATGCAGGGGATTGGGGAAAAGTAGTCAATGTCCCATCTGAACTATCTGGTGTTTTTCGAACCTTTATTTGGCTGAACACTATATTGATCATGACTGACTGAGGAACCTCTTTATTCGAACCAACGTGCCCTAAAATATGCAGATGTTTGTCCATTATATTTGAATTAAAGAAGGCTTATGTGGTAATTATACACGACCCCATACGATTAACGCCATGAATTTGTATCAATAAGGGCAATTTCCCTTCGTCCTATTTTTTGTAGCAAATTCTATTACACTTTTCTCTTTGCTTATTAGATTAAATGTGCGAAATACTTTTATATGTTATAGACAAATTTATCACCAACATCCCTTCAGTAGTTGTTCAATCGATTGATGATCATTTAGGACTTTGCTAACGTAACAAAAGTCGTCTTTCGTTAAAATCTAAAATTTAAAGATAGTGTGGTTTGCTGTATAACCTCATTTTATTCTGTTGATTTGTATTACCTTTGTTTTCGCATATTCATTCATTCTAATTAACTTCAAAGTGCTCACTGAATTAGTCACTCAACTAGTTTCATTATTTACCAGTTAATATTTTGCCTTTTTTAGTGTATTGTAGATACTGAGGAATTCAAGAAAATCAATCCTGATTTGGCACCTAGTTTACAAGAAGTAGAACGTGGCATTCGCGATGGTTTCTTATCTTTGGATGATCGTCTTCGACACCTTCCTCAACTTGCTAGCGGTGAAGATAGATCAGGATCTACTGCTGTCTGTGTGCTCATAACACCTAAACATATTTTCTTTGCCAATTGTGGCGACTCTCGTGCCATACTCATTCGAAAAGGTAAAGTTGCCTTTGCCACAGTTGATCATAAACCTGTAAATCCAAATGAGAAACAGCGTATACAAAATGCCGGTGGTTCCGTTATTATACAACGAGTAAATGGTTCTCTTGCGGTTTCTCGGTACGTTGGTTATAGTTTTAAAAAATTCTCTGCTGCCTTAGTGTTTGTATACATGTATATTATAGTTTGAGTGACTTTCAATGAAGCAACGGTTTAGCAATCTACAATATAAAACTACCTGAGGTCGCACACCGATTTAGCTAGGCTTAATATCGTGGTACAATCAAATCGCACTCCTGATACATATAATTTTTACTTGGATTTGTTGCTGAAGTTAATATGCACAATACATAGTGAATCGTAACTCAAAATAACAGTTCATTAACGGCAAAACTCGAGATTTACAATACGGTATTGAGTATTTAAGACAGGATATTTTATCTAAGTTTGTCTTTAATTGATAACGAAGGTTGATACAATGTCTCGGTATTTTTTGGAATCTAACAGTCAAGGAATGAATTGACGTAACATTTTCAGATAGTTGTTTTTAAACTTTCAGTCAAATCAGAAGAGCAGGATTATTCTTTGTTCATTGTTTGGTAACTAATTCATGTAAATGATTCGGTATTTTATCGATCAAGTATTCAGCTTATCAAGTGACGCCTGTTTTGACGTCCAAAAAGTTATAAATTCCCAAGATAAATACACAAGACTGTTAATCGTTTCGAACATCCTGCAGTTTAATATACAACTTAATAGTTTGCACTTTGAAGTAAATATATTACAGATTTGCTGTGAATAGTTGTGATAATTTCTCTCGTATTTGCACATTGTTGATTGATAAGTTTTCCTTAAGTAAATATGTAAATACTGGATTAGTTTTTTATTTATTTATTTATTTCAACACATAGATATTGGTACAAAGAGGCACCAAATACATATGCGCCACACAAATCTCATTCCATATGTGTGAGGGCTGTGATACTGCTCGGGTGCCCAGACCGAAACAGGTACTGGATTAGTTCCTATTCAGCAATTAGTTTAGTAGGAAAACTTAGACTACTTATTATTTTTTTCTGTCAAAAACCACTACAAATTGTAAATTATTGGATCTGGTTGAAGTAAAGGGTCAGTCGAAACCTAATACATGATGTAACGTACTTGAAATCTGTGCGTATTCCATTTGTTCAGTTAGTCACCCGATAAAATAGTTCTTTTCGTTAACTTCAGTCTGTCTTGCAAACACAAAAGCTTAGTTATTAGTAAGATAAAAAACCAACGGGATATATCTCAAAATACTGTCTCATTTTTATTTTAGTATCCCTAACCATTGCCTACTTCAAAGGGTGATATTTTGTGGTAGAGTAGGCTGGAATGATGTTAGGGGTGCCTAACCTAAACATGGCATTAGTCCATGAAGTTGTGAGTGTATACTTTATGGACGACCTTCGAGCGACTCTAAGGTGACCTTGAGAGTATCCACCTACTTACTAGGGCTAAATGAGGGTTATAAAGCAATGTGAAGAATAAGGCTTATGATTTACAATTGATCGTTAAGGTTAGGAATTAGATTACTGGCTTTCATCACAAACTGACATAAGCTAAAATGCCAAAATGCTATTTAGACGAATGGGTGAATGAATTTTGCGCTGAAATCCGAGACCTGTTATCCTGAATATGATTGGTTCGTCCATAAGTCATAGTCTCGCCATTTTTGCTAATAATTAGTCTAGCTGTTAAATGGGTGGTAAATAGTCTTATGTAAATGTGTACTAGCTCTGAGTTCGTACTACATCACCTTTTAGACTACAAAAACAATTTTTTGCATGTGTTTTACTGACTCACGATTTCAGTAATAGATGGGTTTTAATTGGTCCTACTAACGGTGACACCCGACCGTGGTTGCTACTTTGACGTGGTGATCGGGCTTGCCTATCGTGATGAACCAATTGAGCTATACTGGCTGGAGCAATCGTTCCTACCATGCCAATTAGGTCGGTTGAAGAACGGTAAGACTAAAAGCAGCAAACCAAAGGTCCGAAGGCGAAGTCGTACTGTTGAATGTACAGTGATGTGACGGCAGTAAGGTGTTTTCTTCAGCGATGTTGTCTTCTCACAAGGAGAGGTGGGGTTAGAAAGGGTCGACTCTGAAAATGCACACCTCGCCCTCTCCCACGGATATCCGTCTCCGATGGTAAAGTCTCAACAATACGGAGCTAACAAGAAAATTACAAAATGGTCGTGTGTGACCGACCTCAAGCAATTGTGCCTTGGGCACTGTGGTGACGCTCTCAGGTCACTAAGACCACCTCTAATCCAATTTTCTTTCCCGGTACCTCCAGAAGAACCCTTCCACGGTGTGGACAACCGGGAAGTAATAACCACCCTCATACCTCTAACAGCACTCAAGACCACTGTATTCATAATCAACTTCCCTCTGACTGACTAACGGCGGCAATTGAGATGTACAGATAGAATACTCGTTTGCTCAACGAAACTTGTGCTGTTGCCCGGGGGTTTGGACACTCAATTTTAAATTGTTTGGATAACAATTTAAAACTCTGATCTCCGAATGCTCTGGTATGGCTGAGGATGAGAAGATCACGCTCACCCCGTCAAAATGCTCTCACGTGGCCACGTGCATACAACCACTGCCAGGAAAGTCCTACTTACTGCCTTCTCACGGCGGGGGTGTTGTTTATAAAATTGAAAGCACCAAAAGCAAATGTGCGGCGCTTTAACCAAGTTGGTGGACACGGAGGGTCTACCTAGAGGAGTTGGAGAACACTGATTCCAAACCAATGGTGCGCATGGGCTCCAGGATCTTGAGTGAACAAAAGGCGTATGGACCTATTGTTAGTCACCGGTTACAATGAGACTGCATCTCCTAAATTTGCTTCACTGCCTTATGGATCAGGCCTTCGGGTCAAGGACTCCGGTCATAGTCCCATGAGAAAACCACCTGCTTTGGTTCAGGCACCTGAGCAGTACCACAGCCCTCACACAAACCGAATGGTGAAGTGTAGCCCACATGTATTTGGTGCCCCCCTGTACCAATATATATGTTTAAGTAAATAAATAAAAACTCCTCTTTCCAACTTATTAAGGTTTTTCACATTTGATAGCCATGATTAACCATCATACCGTAGCTGTGACTCACTTTTTGACAGGAGTACATACTTTAACATTCTGGGTAATTAATATTTTTACCTAAAATTTTCAGTGTATCTTTTTACACTATTATTTCGAAGTTGTTTAATCGTTGTTATAATTCTTAATTTTTTTTAGATCATTAGGGGATTATGCCTTTAAAGCTGCTAAAGATTTAGGTCCTACGGAGCAACTTATATCCCCAGAACCTGAAATCACTGTTGTTGATCGTGATAAAGATTTAGATGAAATTATCGTTTTAGCCTGTGACGGTATTTGGGATGTTTTAACTAATGAAGAACTTTGTTTACTTTTGCAAAATCGCATGCGATGTGTTGATGATTTATCAATGATATGCAATGAAACTATTGATATGTGTTTGTATAAAGTGAGTTTTTCCCTTTAATTTTTAGTCATTTGAATGTCGTTTTTGATGATGTGTGTGTAAAACTGCTGATTTTGTATTGTTCAATAGGGCTTGGTTCGGTCTATTTAATCTTAGCTATTTTTCAAAGGTAATTAAGTATTCCTTTTTTACTGTCTCCAATCTGTATATCGTGATTTTCATTTCTATCGTCATGCGAAAACAGTCACCAGGCTGTATCACTTGTTATAACATGATCAGTGCGATTAGATATAAACCTGTACCTGGTAAACGAGTCATAAATCAAGGTGATGATAGATAGTGGATAAGTTATTAAAAGTTAGAAACTTATGGTAGTGATTTACTGTTTTTCCATTAAAAACAACAATCAAGAGAAAGTTAAATACGACATACCATCATTTTTCAGTCCTCTTCCCGTATGCTGTAACAATCCATTCGGTTGGTAATTAGACAATGTAAACTCGTCATAGGTAATGTTTGTGTTACGTAGCTAAATTAAACGAGAATTTCGGTCGGACTGAAATCTAAACCTCTGCCGTTTTTTTTTGGAAGGGTAATAAAAGCGAACATATAGATATACCCTTGTGGAAAAGCTATGTAGAATTTAAAGTTGATTCAATTTCAACGGTAGGATCAGTTGTAAACAACAACCTCTATCTGGAATCTGAGAGTTTACTTACTGCCGCTGTATCTTTTCCTCACTGTTAAAACATTAGTTCATAGACTTATATAATTGGGAATGTTTATAGTATTGATGTGTTTGATGTTTCTTGAACCATTTGCTTTTGACAAGCAATTATGGTGTAAGAAATGTTTGTTATTTGTTATTAATTTACTGGGACACAGTAACTCTGTATAGGTTTGTGTATTCGGCTTCCAGCCACACGTTTTGTTTGAGAGATAGTTAAACATATTCGCTCATGCCGAAACATATGTGGTGAGCATTGACCTTGAAATCCGATGGTTTAGACTTAATTGTTTTAAGCACCAAGCTACCATGATCTGTACTGTTGGATATAATCATGAAGCGAGTTCAAATTTTAATCATTACTAAGTCCTAGTAAATTTAGTCATAAAATCTTTTGCATAAGCTTGTTTTTATAGCGTATTAGATTAAATTGAAAATTATTATCAACATCTCAATAGAGTAGTCGTTATAAGTTAAGAAAAGAACTTTACGGCATAAACATGTGACTGCTATGACCATGTGTTTCATGTCTGTCCTTAACCTACCTTTAATCTGAATTGACTAGTAATACATAGCAACATATACGTGATTATATCATAATACTTAACGTAAGTTACTTACGAAGTGGAGGCTTATATACTATTTCTGTAATTTATTTTATTTCAACACATAGATATTGGTACAAAGAGGCACCAAATACATATGCGCCACACAAATCTCATTCCATATGTGTGAGGGCTGTGATACTGCCCGGGTGCCCAGACCGAAGCAGGTGGTTTTCTTAGGGGGCCACACCCCGAGCCTTCGACCTGAAGGTCTGATCCACAAAACAGTGGAGCATCGTAAGGAGATGCAGTCCCATGGTAGCCGGTGACCAACAATTGGTTCATACGCCATTTGTTCCCGCAAGATACTGGAGCCCATGTGCACCATTGGTTTGGAATCCGGTTAAAGCGCCAGACATTCGCTTTTCATCCTCTCATTTTCGTAAACAACAGTAATGCCACGAGAAGGCAGTGAGTAGGACTTCCCTGGCAGAGGCTATATACGCGTGGCCATGTGAGAGCATTTCGAGAGGGAGAGCGGACTCTCCCCACTCTCGGCCGTACCAGGGCATTCGGGGGCCTATTTCTGTAAAGGCTACCGATACTATCCGGTTGCCCATGCTGATTTGACAGAGCTAAAATTAATCCCATTAGAGCGAATAGCTTAGAGTCATTATATTCCTTAATCGTTTATTTGTCAACTGGCTTCTAATTATATTCTTGTATTCATTATTTTGTAACCAAACGTGTTATATTGTTAAAAGAGGAAACTTATTTTAATGCGCGGCTGTTTATTCTTCTGATATGGGGGTCTTAAATCTGTATTTCGGTCTTTAAACAACTATCACTCGAGTTCATTGTGTAATTGGATATTATCAACTAAGCGACGTCTTTCATTCTCTAATTTAACAGTCCTCAAACAAATTTACATTACAGATCATAGAAGGTTAATTCATAACACATGTTGAAGTATAGTTGAATTCGAACTTAAAATCTGCTGATTGAAACTTAAGTGGTTTGATCACTAATAGATCGTCAGAAATGGTGTAGTGGAATTTATATGTCTCACAACATGAAACACCTTGTAGCTTTATGAAATCAGCTATACTTTTTGTGATTGATAGACTAGTGAAAACCAACATTATTTCGTTATCACATAGACTGGTCAATTGGTTTATCACTTATTTACAAATTCTATAATTTTTATTTTTTTATTTTCCCTTATTGAAGGGAAGTTCCGATAATATGAGTATGGTTTTAGTGGCATTTGATCCTGCTCCTCGAGTAGATCCTACTTCTAAAACGGAAGATGAAAATTTAGAATCTGTTTTAGTACAACGTACTAAAGGTAAGACGGTGCTATTGCTTTATAATATTCTTTTATTTTATCGTTAGTAGTTTAGGGGATACTTTTCGCTCGAATGTCTATGCCCTTATTTCACAGTTAGTTTTATCATGCCTGATGTTTAATGATTATGCAGCTGTAGTGCTCCTACCAAAATTCCAATATTTGATCTGAACATGGAACTAACGGACCAAAATTTATTCGATTAGAACAAATTGCATTCTTCTGTATAGCGTACTAAGCACCTTTGAGTGACTCGTATTAAATTATATCAAAATACAAACTCTTTGCTCAATTTAAACGGTTCTAATTTGAGAAAAAAACTATCAAAAGTACAAAACATCTCAAGCGGTACAGCATGTGCTATATAGTCAAAGGTTTCTCTAGCACAAAGTAACGTGTTAAACAAGAAAAGGAATAGTTAATAAACAATAGTTCGATACCTGAAAATCAATAAAAATATTCCCAACAAAATGGAATCAGATATCTATCGTCAAGGATTCCAGTAATTTTTCAAAGCAAACAGGTTAACAATCATACACTGAACTACGCCGCGACATTGAGTTTAGTCAAACACGACATTATTGTCAATTGTCCGTCAACATGCAACAGTAAAATTAAGTAATGAGGTAAATCTCTAACCAAGATCAAATAGACAGGTCAAAACAAGAAAGACTGAAAAACATAAAGTGTGGTTAAAAGAGACCTGAATGAAAGTTGGAATACAGGACAGAGAAAAGGAACAAATGAATAACAATACTGCCCAATAAAATGCTTTGGAGGGATTTTCAGCGTGTTCTTTCCGTTATAATGAATGTTGTTCACCTAGAGGAAACAGAATTAGTGTTGAGTACATAAATATGTAAAGCGAAATTTAAATGTTTATGTTTTGCGATTCTTCGTAGTACTATCATCCTGCCTACCAACTGACACTCACTTATACAACAGTCTTTTAGAACATGGACAAATTTGCCTGCATTCAATCTCAGATGACACATACTATTTCTTACCTCTATGTAAAATTCTAATACATATTTGGTTGTATGCAGCTGATGAGAAATCACGAAATATAGTGAATTCATACTATTCTGTATCTATATTTGTTCTGGCTTTATTTAAATTCGTAAAGAAAACTAACTGCTTGAAATCTCAGATCTATTATTTTACCTGATGGTAACACTTGACTCAATCTGAGTTATTTTGCTGATGTTTGTTATTGAAATATTTATCAAAGAAGCTCACAGAATTATAGAAAGCTAGGATTTGAATTAACCATTGGAAGCAATGTTCGTCGGTGCATCTCACATTTCTTAATTCCTATTCAATTTTGTCATAAATATTCTCTTAAAGATAACTCTTCATTTGATCTTTCACTGTTTCGTCTCTTAAATAGAAAGTCTTTCATCAGCTGTGAGTAGTACACTTATCATGTAGTTTTGTTTGATGAGAATACTCTTAATGGTGCACTTGCAATAAGTTTTATGATCGTAAATTTTCAAAGCTATTTTATTGATTTTGGACTATATTTCATAAATGTGGTTTTCCTCTATCGTCCAAACACTTGGAATTTGAGGCTTTATAACCTTTAATTTTTTTCACTAGGATAAAACATTATGCAGAAATGTTAATTAAAAATTCAATCGATTGAATTCTCCGTCTTTGCACACGATCTGTGACTTGAGAATATAGATTGATAATCCTAAATATGTGAAGAAAGTTATTTTCCTTAGATTTTAATTTGTAAATAGTTCTACTGCATAATGATATTCACGACAGTTGGTTGCAAGTTAATTTATGGTAATCGAATCTAGGAAAGTGTTATTTAGTACATCAAATAATGCAGCAATATAGCGAAGCAAGAAATTGCATGTAATATGAAATACTACTTACTGTCTAATTTAGTGGTTTATGGAACTTCATTTCTGGTGAAGTCACTTTTCCTTACTGTTCGAAGTCATTTAGAGTCATTCAAAACGAAGGAGCACCAAACTATTTTAACCTGCGCTATTCATCAGTAATGCACGTTCGTATCCTTCATATGGGATCCAACCGAAAATCCTAACATTTTGCAACTAAAGCGATACTGTTCAAGTACTGTGTCGGAATCTAGCGTCTACGTTTTCCGACTTTAGTCATTTCGGAATGTAGCACAATCATCAATAAGTATTAAGTGATCTTTGGTAACTTTGAGATGTATGTGTCACAGATTTTCGAAAGAACGTTAGTGTGTCAGCTCAGTTTTGCGCACCGACGATAGCCAGAAAAAGAATTAAGCGATATCGGTTGATCTAAACCATGAAATTCCGACTCAACAACCGAATAGTGTCATGCTCATTTCGAGCTTCGTTGGATTAAGATTTTGCCTATTATAAAGTCATTAGTAGACGAAACGGCTGTTCAGTTTTTTTTAACTCTTAGTGGCTTTTACGAATTATGCCGATCCACAGTGAAGTTTACTATCAAAATGGTATCCATATTATAAGCTTATTTGCTAGTCCTCTTTAGTCTAGTCACAGATGATCAGAAGGTCACTAGATGTTCTTTCATCGAGTATTCCATTAAACAGGTCTATAGCGGATTGGTTCAACCATGGATATTTCAATTGATTGATTACAGATTACACTTTTAAGTGGTTCATTCAAACAACAGGCAAAATATGTGACTTGAAGCCTAGTTTAAGAACTTGTCTATGCATAATTTGCAAATATTTTGCAAATCGAAAGTATGTAATCTTACGTATATGTAGTTTGCAAAGCCTTATAATACTAACTAAAGCGATTTTGTTTATGCTATGCGTATAAAATCAAGTCAGTTATTTGTTTTAAATTTGCAGTATAATTCCATTTCACTAAAGTTCTACATTCATTTCTTTTCTTTATTTTATGTATATAATGGGGCTATTTTAACTTTTCACTTCCGGCCTTTCCGCATTATAATTTACTCTTTTTTTCCAGTAAATAATGTGTCTAGTTGTTAAATGTTATTTTCTTTGATATATTCAATGAATGTCAGTGACAAGAAAGCTTTCATTTGCTTTGATATCAGTGATTAAACTATGCATATTGTTTGGTTTTTAATTTTAAAATTGTTATTTTGCCTGATGTTTATCTGAAAGAACTATAATTTCCTTTTCTCATTATAGAATTTTTGGAAAAGCATAGCAAAACCGAAGTAACAACTGAAATGGTTGTAGAAGATTTACAAGCATCTGTTGGCAGTTTGCCATCTTCTGGGAATTGGCTTTGCAAGTAAATCCTTTTCTGTACATTATTTCTTTCAATGTTATTTTATATTTTCTTATCGGTATTATTAAATTAAGAAGGTACATTTTCTTGCGAAATCAATATTGATTCGATGAACATTTATAAATCCACGGTATTAGGGCAGTTAAATTATAACATTGAGACTTGATTATGCTTTTGTAGACTGTGATGAAGAAACTAGTTGAAAAGGTCTTGATGGTGCTTATCCAAGATCCTACTTTCTAAAACTAGGAAACAATTTGTCAGTATTTTTACTTGTGTTATAATTTTAAAATAATATTGACTTATAGAGAAAATAACTTCTACGCTTTTTTAAATCAAGTGTCCGATATATATTCGTGAGAATACTTAGAAAATTCACTAGGGATTGTTTATAATATACTTTATTCATCATGTTATACGAGATAATAATCTTTTAATTCATTGACCACGTACAAATATATACATACATAGTTCTCTAAATTCTACCAATACTACCTATTTGACCGAACTTAAGAATATGTGGTTGGCTTCAAACTTGAAATTCGAAAGAATGAAAAAAACAGTCATCGTTTTCTCCTTGATTAAACCAGTCAAGTAAGTAATAAATGGGAGAGATTATCTGGTGAAAGTCAATATTATTAGTACTGGGAGTTTCGTCGTTTATGTCACGTTGAAAACCAGGGTGTTTTATTTGCAGCAGTACGCATTCAAGACCTCTCACGAGATGGAGCTTAGAAACCTCAGGTCTCTCAATGATGAACTTTTAGCTTTTAGAACACTGGGTTCAGCTTTGAACAACAGCCCATTTGGTTAAGATTCAATTTGCATTTAGAGCTTGAGTCAACTCGCTTTATTGCTCAATCATCATCCACTCAACCCCTTTGTTGGATAACTGCGTCATTCTCGATTTGGTTGAGCTCCACTCGTCATAGCCCTTCTCTAAAAACCCTCAGGGTTCAATTCATGGGCGCATACCTCCAAGGAATCTCATTTTAGGACGAAACAGTTGTCTAAGGTTTTCCTGGTTTCTAACTAAGTTCCGTCCGCGATGTAAATCACGAAAAACCTTTCTTCGTAGAACTGGTGTTTTATGTATGTTATTCTGTGATCGTTAGTCATTTTTGCTTGTGGTGATAAATTGGTATATACGTTATTTCGGTCGGTAATTACTTTTTTTAATGATTAGTTTTGAAGTATTATTCAAGTCAACTTTAATGTATTTCAATACAGTACTAATCTGTATGTATGCCTGGTTTGGTGATGGAAAGATAAACTGCTTCAAGCTATTGAGTTACTTATTTTGACATTTGGATGAATTGTTTCGTTTTGAATACAAAATTAAGACATTATGTGAATTGAGAGATTGTTCAAGCAATTCGATTGATTGTACGTCGTATATTTATTTATTTGACAAATGTTGTAAAAATGTGAATAGTTTCTCAAGTAAAAATTGATTTTAAAGCCTATGTATTCAAGAATTCCCTGCTTCTGAATAAATTCAAAACTCCATTCCAGGAAAGATGAAAGCAAATATCTAGTTTGTCGAAAATATCAGCAAATTCTAGTGATTATTAGTTTGTTAAACTCTGCAGAAAACATGAAACATCAACCTGGTATATCCTAGTGGAGTCACATGACGTAGTTTTGTGGTTCAAATTCTTAAAAATCAGAATCAATTACAATGGCGTCGGTGTATACACTCTCTGTCTTCCCTTAAACTAAGAGGTTAAAATCGCTTCACATCTTTCTTTCTACGAACTTATTCTTTCTTCATGTACTATATCCTTATCTGCAATCTTTCGTTTATATATTACCACCTCTGAATTAACTACTTTTATGATTTTGGTGTTCATCTTGTTGTGTTAATGAGGTATGGCAACTTGGACCGACGCATATAAATGTCAGAATTTAGTGTGGTACACATTCAGTTAAATAAAGTTAATTTGGACAATTATTTGAACTACAGAAAGTTGTAAGTATAAAATGGGAATTATAACTATATAAAAAATACATGATCAACTTAATGCAAAATGACTTATCTTTCCAATTCGTTGTTTTTCTCTTAGGATTGGCAAAATTCAAGAAATGATTGATTCTCATCGACTGGCTTATTCAAATCGTGGGATTCAGAACCGATGAACTCATATACTCTCTTATCCTTCATTCTCTCATCTTTTTTATTCCTTCTCTTAAATGTATCGAATGCTTGTGTTACATTTGTGCTTTGTATGTATGTATGGGTGTTTGTAAATAGGATGAATATACGTGAGCTAATTTACTCTTGTCTGATTTTCACATTATGCTTAAATCAATATTCTTGAATTGTTGCTTATTGATCTAGTCACTCACTGTTTAATCAATTGATGAAAAGTTGCTAATGATGATACTATAGGGTTTGTACATGTCATCTTGTTGGATTATATTCATTTCCATTTGCAATCAATATTTCCGTCATATATATATATATATATATATATATACTTCATGCTCAATATATCTTCATTTCCCTTCCTTTCTATTCACCGAAGTATGTGTATTATCTTCAGTCTATCAAACGATAATGTGCAGTATTATATATCTGTTTTTCTCTATCTCTTCATTTTCTTTTAACATATTTGTGTAATATATTTCATGTGGTTTCATTTGATCCTAACAGTAGTAGAGTAACGGTAATAGTAATGGTATTTATGATTATTATTTTTTTTAATGATACTATTGAATTTGTACATGATCAGCAAAAAGAAAAAAACACAAGTTGGTACTGCATTTATTTATTACCATTTTCGCATTCATAAATTTATAGTTATGCATGAGGCTAGATTGTTTTTTTTGTTGCTACTTGGTAATTAATGTTGGTGTTTTGTTTCACTCATGTTAACGTATTTCTTATAATTTGTTTCTTTTATGTTGCTAGAGAAAAATTAACCTAGAGATATTCAATATTATGTTTGTGTGCGTGTGTGTGAATAAATATGAATCCAATCATTTAAAGTCAAAGATATTTTTCTTTCTATACAAATAAGTCATTCATTGGTCTCGATGTTGTCTCAGTTAAATACGGTTATGAGCACAACACAAATAGTGTTGAACATAAGAATTATTGAATATCCGATACTGTTTATTCATTTTTTAATTATTATTTAGTAAACACGTTTACATATACAAAGGAGAGTATGTAGTTATAACAAACTGAACAATACTAGCCATGGGTTTACAAAAGAAATGAGTAGGTTCTATATTGTGCTTTTTTTCAATGTTGTAATCAATAATTATGTATCTTTAATATGATAATATTTTGATGCACCAATGCCAACTTATATGCATTTAATTTGTTGATATATTTTTCTTTTGTTTTCTTATTTATTTACATTGTTATATAAGATGATTAATTAATAACGAACTGTATGTAACAGAATATTTGTATCTGTAGTAAGCTATTTGTAACCAGTTTTGGAGATGAAAACCGTTAATGTTTCATTAAAATATTCGTTACGCGTAAATCTATTCACACTAAACATGTGTAACAGATTTTCTTTTTGTTTTAGAAATATCTGGAACCTCGTTAATTTTTATGCATAGGTTTTTTTCCTTATATTGGGCAGTTCAAAGTTTCTGTTAGTTTTCATTTCGTTTAATACACTTAAGCATTTCACATGAATTTTGGATATTAATTCGTTTAGTTGGTAATACATAGTCGTTCAATGAATTTATCATTAAATGGTGTGAATCATAACAAGACAGCTTAGTGCTATTTTTTTTCAATAAACAGATTTCACATTGACTGGACGTATATACTATCAAGAATAACGATAAGTTATCAGCTTTTCAAGTTATTATATTGACTACTAAAATTCCTAGTTATATCAACTGCACTGAATATTCAAAGATAAAATTAAGTTATTATTTACTGTACGATATTTCTGTACTTCATCACATATGTACAAATAAAGTGACCATGTAGCATGAAATAGTTAAGCCATTTTAGTGAATTCATGGTAAGAGCTGAATACAATGTCTGATATTACGAATAGAGAAGAATTATGAAGAGAAAGAGGTATTTTTTGGAACGGATTATTTTGAATTTGTCATTTGCATCATATTTAAAGTTTGAGTAAAATATCATTGATAACTTAGAAGCGTTAGAAAGATATTGTCTTCTATTATAGAACTTCTTTCCAGTGACCACCGACAATTCTTCCAAGAATCAGACAGAAGTTATCCAGACCCCACAACATATGAGTAATTTTCAAACCAGAGATGACAAATAGCCTTCGTATTTGTATACTTATAAACAAACAGTATGAAGCTTGGAAAGCCCCTAGTAGTCTTTATTAAGTGTTAAATTTCATAAGAACACATTTGTGATACAGAGATACTATGGAAAATAACGATTTTCTTAGTTCCATCGACTTTGTTTTCGTATAATACTACCTAGTATTCATTCAACAAATTGTTTTTTTAGTTGATTTCTTTTGTTTATTGTCCAGTAATTAGTAATAGGAAAATGTTATACAAGATTCTACAATAATGTACATTAATCTCAAAAAAGAGATGTCTAATAACTGTAAGCTACTGGACAAACCGAATCCACGAAAACTCATAATATAAATCTACTGGTTTTTTTCATTGATACATTCTCCATCTGTTTAATCAGGAAATTAAGCTTTGGATAATAATAATAATGTCCTTTGGGAGGATTTTCACACACTTGTATAAACACTTTTCTTAATAATCCATTGTCAAATAAGTAAAATTAGATCATTTGTTTCTCTATCAGTTGTCTATACCAGTATATTACATAATTTTGCTCTTGATATCAACAATTCACTATTCGAGTTAAATTATATTTACTGTCATTTTCATATTGCATTATGATTTTTAATATTTTTGGCATATAATATCATGATGTAATCCATAGGATAATAATCAATTAATAATTAATCGAAGATGAATTCTAAGTAATTGATTATCGAATTTCAATAAATTATTTCACTTTAATCAATCGATAATGGTATAAAATAATGAAAGGTTACAGTTTCAATTCAAATTAATGTGAATAAAAGTCACAAAAAAGAAAAAAAATAGTGTCAATTCTAGAAACAGAAAAAAAATGTTAAAGATGTATAGAAATTCATTAAAATATAAAAAAATAATAGAAAAATGATAAATTTAACCGTCAACCTAAGTTTATTAAGCGTGATTTAATGATAACTAGGTTAGATGCTTATTAAAAATTGGATAAAATATTGTACTATATCATGCTAATACAATATTTAAAACAATTAACACGAATTGAGTATTATATATATTTCCGTTAATAAACATTTTGTAAAGTGTTAGTAACAAAAATTCTGAAAAAAATGAATTCAATTCATTTTGACTATTCTAAATCTTTCAAATAAGCATTAGTTTTATGTTTCGGAGATCCAGAAAATTCTTTGAGAAAAGCTCAAAGATGCCATGAAAACTGGAAAACATTTTGTTCAATTAGCGATCAATAAAGTATCTAGGACGTCAAGTTATATGTGTGACTGGATAATTACCAATCCTGCTACTATGTTTAGTAGAATTCCAGAAGCCCAAGGTCATCTAAAATGCTATAAATACCCTAAATTTTCTGTATATAAGCTAACCCTGAAGTAAAGGGTTCTTTCCATATTTTGCGTGTTCAAGTAAAGGAAATCATGGACAACTATAGAGTCGAGAATCAAGTTAAATGAAGAGACAGTCAAGATTCAGGTGATTACAGGTTAGGGGTCAACAGTAACCAGTCAGATCGAGGTGAACAGGATAAGTTGTTAGCTATATGTGGAGCAATTCTAATACTGCGATTCCACTTGAAGTTTTTGCTGAGAATATTTAGAAAAAACAGTGATATCTCCACGATTAAACCGTCCAGTTCGGAGAACGAAACTCTAAAATTATCTGTGAGCTATAAATCCGCAACCTCATCTTAAAGATGAGCAAAGAGTTTTTCTCAGGGATTTTGAAATTTTCCTTTTCTGCTTTACCGCAGCGATTTCTTGTTCAAGTTCAATATTCGTGAAAACTTTTTTTCAACTCTCGATGATCTGTCAGGTTATAGTTTTGGTGTTAAGTTTCTATCGATGAATCAAGGTGAATAATCACATCAGTCGAAGTTAACTATTATAATTTATATATGGCTGAATAATAGCTTTTTTTGTAAAAAGTAGTATGACAGGACTACACCATGACACGTTCTATTAAACTGAAAATGACTAATCACTGCTCCTCTCCCATGCTAATAAGACACTCTATTAATCAATTATATAGAGATTGCAATAATTCGTTTCTTCTTAAAAATCATGGAAAGGATTGTGTTTAGGAAAACCAAATCTTGATAATCAAACCATTTGCTACAGAGTTGAAACCTTAACAAATCCTAATTCTTAGCTAAACATCTCCATTTTCTCAAATGTTGGTTTGACAAGTGTAATAAAACAAATTAAAAATTACAGTTAAATACCAAAGCTACTAGAAACGGTAATTCTTTAGTGGGAATTATTACGATATCAGGTAGATACAGATATGAGAACGTTTTTATGGTTTATTAATTATTTTATCGATCTTTAGCAGTTAGCTTATGGTCAAAATAATTTCCATATCACGACGTTTTACTATTAGTGGGTAGGACCAGAAAAACCATTTTTGGAGTTATTACTTTATATTCAATTGATTATAGTATGTGGCTCTTGCATTATTTTTTTTCAGATTTCTAGAAATATATCGTAAAAACACTTACAATTGATCAGTCAGTTATACTAAGCGTAAGACCTGGACCATATTGGCGACGGTTGAAGTTGGTGCACTGCATTAACGCAGCGAGATGGGATCGATAACATAAATCTCAATGTAGTAGAGATAGATATAGCGTCAGTAGTGCGAAAGATTGTGGATTTGGAAAGGAGGTACCAAGAGATTCTGGGGTTCAAGATCTAAGAGAATACATAGAATGGATGAATTTAAGCCATTTTATCCGATTATGTCCCATATTATCCACCATCTCCAAAGACTTGTTGCGGCAAACGTGCAGACCCCGACCAAGTAATGTGCACCTACTCAAATTGCTCGATCAACTTGTAAATTGTGCTCGTAATACTATTTCAAAGGATCACAATGTAATTCAGTTAATAAGTTTCAAAGGTTATGAATTTATCTTCTGTTAATTAGTGGATCTCTGTAACATAAATGAGGTACTTTTACCTATAACCATCTACTTTAATATATTTCTTAACGTCTTTTGCTTCAAATAGCCGGTGTTGGATGTTCTTATTGGCATTTTACCTGGATTTAAATCTAAGACTAACGTTCAGTAAGACAATGAAAACTAAACATTTGATCTCAATTTGTTTCAACAGTTATTTCTTCAGTGTCAGTAACCGTTTTCAGTTTCGTGTAATTATACTTCCATTACATCATAATGTTATCAATTCACAAAATTGTTTTGACAAGTAGTCGCTCTTTTTTTCTGTAATACAAACTAATGTCGAAATTAAGAATATACCAAAGGAAAAGAATACAGAATTTGAGTAAATATCATCATTAGTATGATAATGTCATATATAAAATAATGTAACTTGAATACTGAAATCTAAAATTTCAAATTTCTATAATACCATATGATATAAAATTATGTTATGAAAACAAGTTTCAAAAGGACACACCATTCAATTCAAAATACCGCCCACAAGATAATTACTTTATAAATTCAGATAGTAGACAATGAATTTTCATCTTTCAATATGATCAATCTTATTTGATAAGAAAAACAAACAAACTAGTCACCTATTTAACATTAAAATCTATTTCAAAGATTATTTTCTAATTAAATCTTTATATAATTTTTTTTCAAAAAAATAGCACATTTTATGTCATAACTCTTTATGTTATTTATCATGATAAATAATAAAAGTCATATGATTAAATATTCAATAAATAAATAAATGAAAATTATGTTGAAAATTGATCAATGATACTTTTTTAAAAGAGAAAGTAACACGAAAGATAATGACCATTGGTGATTATACTTAGTTAACACAATTACATTTCAAATACATTTTTCTCTTTCTCTCTCTCTGTGTGTGGTGCTAAAAGTTGTTAAATAATAAAAAGAAAATTGTTTTTTTCTCTACAGTCAACGTTTTGTACTTAAAATAATCCGCACTGCTAAGGTGTCTTATATTAGGACGAAATGGTTGTTTAATGCTTTCTGATTTTTCATGGTGGTCTAGCTTTAATTGATTCATGAATTTAACTATTAAATTATAAATTTGTTTGAATACTGTATTGTGTTTGTTTATATTGATTAAATCCGTGTGCGAACAGTTCACCGGTGAACACGAAGAAGGTCTAAGAAGCTCAGAAAGAGCTGAGAGTATTCCATCCAATTATCTTTTGGAAGAATATTCCAGAATCACTACGTGTAGCCTCCCTAATGGACAAATGCTAATAATTTCCCGTATGCGGATTGGAGGATAATAATGATGATTTCGTTTATACTAAAAACTATAAATACCTGGCAGTTTTGTATCATAATTGACACTGTTTGGAATGGTATTCCTTTCACTTGTCTCCTGTCTTTTCATTTGCAACTTGGAGGCTTCTAGCGCTCACGTTATATGCGATGTATTAAGAATCTTTGCTCAAGATATAACAATCCAGATGAAAAAAGAAATGTGTAACAGTATGAATGTACATATGAGGTTTTAGTGTTAAACAATTCAAATGATGATACCCTTTTGGATAATAACTTATGATTGGTCTGATCTAATGAGAATATAGAAATCATTGTTCACAAATTAGTGGTAATTTCAATGATTGTCGAATGTTATTGGTGTTTGATAATTTTGATTCTGAAGAGAATGTACACATATAAAACTTCATACTAATAAATTTATATGTGATATTTTTATGTAATACTGGGTAAGTTCTACGTTCAATGAATTGATTCAGTAAAACAACAACTGTAATAAAAGCATTATCTTCAAATGTGTGAAACAGAAGGAAAGTTCTACATTAAGTTTATTGAACATATTCTAACAATCATTCACTTAGTATAAATGAATAGATTCAATAATGCAACTTCTACACATTCAGTTGGTATGTGAGATGTACGTTTGGAATTCGTTGAAATAAACTTAATTTTTATCGAATCATGTAAAATTTCAAATGTAATTTTAATGTCTAAATACTACAAATTGTACATTAGCTGATGAAAACCTTAATAAAAAAGTGAATATAGTTTATTTCATTTAGACTGTTTTACTTAGTTCATTTGGTATTGTTTACCTGTAACTTCTTGTTGTTATTTAGGTCTGCAATTGATCAGTCTCTTGTTGACAGATTTACATTCTCTGCGAGCTGCCTCGATATTGCCTTGGATCACAAGCTTTATAAGCTTTTACTTACTTTTTCCTAAAAAATGAAATAATTGAAATCATGTGCATAAAAAAAAGATATTTATATCTGTTTTATAGCTGTTATAATTACAAAGTCTATTACGAAAAAATCGTTTCATTTTATTCTGTAACTAGTTATTAATCTCACAAAAATCTGTTAAACAAGCGAATCCATCCGGTAGAACAGAGTATTGTCTGTGGTGTATTACAAAAGTGTAGTGAACGAGAACACAACTGGGGGGCAATCCAATGTATTTGAATACAAAATTACAAAATATCTTAGTAAAATCTGAGAACCATACAATAAATGTTTTATTTGCAAAATGTCAGTCAGTTGTCTCAAACTTCATTGTTCCTTCGTTTCCACACCAATTATTCTCTGTCCTCTTTTCTTTGATCTTCTAAACCTTCTGCATCCAGGTATTTCAATTTCGACTGATGATACATAATACTTATATCTATCGACATTAGTAGCACACACCACAGTAGCATTGATGTTCATTTAAATTATTTTCATTATCACAGATTGAAATCATGAGTCAGTTGAAGCTAATTTCTAAAATCTCCACAAAACCTATTCTGATAATAATCAACTGCTCACTAGTGACTGACTTCAGGAAAAACTCCTGAAGTTCTAGTGAGAAGCCGTTACCAGTGGAGTTCAACCAGGTCTGTTGTGAAATAACAATTCACTGAAGACAATGGTGTACGGTGGCGCAACTTCGTGGATTGGTTGAAGTTAGACATTAACACCGTCGGATGCCGGCTCAGTGGTCTAGTGGTTAAGTGCTCGCGCGCGAAGCCAGTAGGTCTTGGGTTCGAGCCCCGCGTGGTGCGGGATCGTGGATGCGCACTGCTGAGGAGTTCCATACTAGGACAAAACGGCCGTCCAGTGCTCCCAGGTTTTCAATGATGGTCTAGATTCAACTGACTCATGATTTCAATCTGTGAAATTTCTAAAATCTCCACAAAACCCATTCTGATATTTTCATTATATTACTGGACAACTCAATCATAATATTATCAAGTAATAGTTGTGTAAATAAGTAGATTCAACATAGGACTCCGATCGCTTATTTTTTATCGATAATGGTATTTTTTAATCGTACGATTATAATAATGAGTCAAATGCGATAAGCTATTTACTGGTTTATGGTTACAAATTGAATAAGTAGTTTCGTCTTATCACGTTTCATTAACTTTAAACAAACGTTTGTAATAGTGTTTGGTATTGGTTGATTTTATTTTGTGAGTAAACACATCAACTTTGTACTAATATCATCATTTTTGAAATTTGTGACGTGGGTCGATTCAGACACGATTGCTATCTAAATGGTGTTATTGAAACTAAACAATTACTAATTACAACCAGAAAGGGGTTTTGTGGATATTAATGTACTTTTAATAGTCAGATCCATGAATCAATTGAAGCTTGAATACCGTTGAAAACCTGGAAGCACTGAATGGCCGTTTCGTTCTAGTATGGGACTCGTCAGCAGTGTGCATCCTCTATTCCGCCTCGCGAGATATCGATCCCAGGACCTATCATTGTCGCGCGCGATCGCTTAATTAGTCGTATACATATTGAGCCTTATCCGATTATTTTGATGGATTATGTGATAAATACCTTGATTTAAATTGTATCACATTTGCTAGTCAATTAGTGTTATCGAATTTACCTAATTTATATGGAGATGTTTTAAGTATGTTATTCACTGCTCAATAATCTAAATCTTTTGTTTAATATACCTACCTCAGTAGGAATATTTGGACGGTTAGCGTATACCATTAAGCTGGAATTCTATCAAACGAAACAAATATCACACTGTTAATTGTCTATATTTCTTAAAATACTCTTATAGTTGACAGATATTATTGATTACTTACCGATTTATTAAATTCGTGCGTTTATTTATATTTTATGGACAAGAGAATTATGTGATTATATTTTCTCAAGTAAGAAGATTTACTAATTACCGATATGCTTAAGTTATTCTAACCAGTTACACAGATTGACTATTGATGCATCAGATTATATACTCAGTTTAATGATTAACATTTGACTATTTTAATACAAATGAACTACAATTACCTTAAACAGTCTAGAACAAAGCTACTTTCGAACTCAAAAGCTACAAGAATTATTATCAGAATCTAACTGTCACTTGCTATATTTCATAAGACAGTGGTTGATACTGGCGGCCTTTTTGAATATCTAGACTACCTGTTCCTACCATATGTATATTTCAAAAAGTTATGTGTTTCTGTTTGTCTTAATACATCATTTTATCTATTAGTCACATAATCTATCTAGGAGCGTTTATGAAACGTTTACGACCCCTCACTGTACAAGTAACGAAAAAGTACAATCAGAGACATCGTGGTAGCTGACAATATGCATTAAAAAAGAATGGACAATAATCACATGTTAATTTTTGAATTGCTAACATCTAACTGACGATCACTAATTGTTAAGGTAGATTGTCTCCAATGCCTACTAAGTTAAAAACATGTATCATAATTGTGATGAGATCACAGTTACTCAATATCACTACAATATCTTAATACTTATCGTCAGGATTGATCAAGTAATAAGAAAAGAAAATTTATTGAAATACTTTGTTCTGAAAATTATATATTGTACCAATAACAGAATAATGAATGAAACTATTGGTGATTATTATAATAATGATACTTTAAGTGGAGATTTCATTGTTTGTTTTTTAACAAATTAGAAATAAACTTTCATCTAGGTAGATTATGTTCATGGTGTATTTATGGTAATCAGAGCTTTTATTTCTATAGATTGGTTTAAATGTTTCAGTTAATCAGAAGACAACTTTAAGTACAATTCTCATTTACTTTTATATTTACCATAAAACTACTTTACTAGGATGAAACGGCCGTCCAGTACTTTCAGGCTTTCCATGGTGGTCTAGCTTCAATTGACTCATGATTTCAATCAGTGAAATAAAGAATGATCAATTCAGTTCAAGTTCAGTAGTGAAAATCTAGTATATCTCCACCCTTGGGGTGTTTAATACTAATTAATATAAATAATACTCAATAACCGTTTTTTTTTAACACTTGACTACTAGGATTTAACATTATGACTTAAAATATCCACTTGTTAAACAATGAACTATATTAATTAATCAATAATTCCTTATAGTTTTGAATAAATTAGAGTTCTTCTTAATTCTCATTTATTACTGGTATCATTGTCTCTATCACTTAGTTCTTCAATTTTTTTTAAGTTTTATCTTCTGATATGATTTCTGAAGTGATGAACCAGTCTGTACATTATTTTTTTTCCTTTTTGTTTTTATTTCGAGTTACTATACTACTAAAATACTGATTAAAATAATACTTTATTATCAACTGTTTACGTAATCTATCAAAATTTACTTTGGATCTATGTCCAATGTATTGATTTGAAATGGTTATTTGTAGACAAACAAATAAAAAAATCTATA